CATGCTTGCGTTCATAACACCAGCAATGGAGAAATGCGCTGGCTTCCAGACAAACTGGTCAAGCTTTATAACCCACCCAGGGAAAGAGCCCCTGAGGAATCTCTTGTTTTCTCTTTCAGATGCTGTTGAAAACAAAACTCCCAGTGAAGATGACATCGCATCACCTACTACTTGTTCCATTTCTCCTTTTGATTTTTAGTTTCCCTCCTTACATCCCTGCCAGTCCCTACTTAATTCTGGCCCAACACCACTTAATCCCCTTTGTTCACACAGCTGGTGCAACCTCCTCCATATCCAGTTTACAGCTGCAGGAAAAAGGTTCCTCTGGGAAGGTTCCCGAGGCGCTCACTGAGGTCTACGCTTATATGTTTCTGGCACAGACCCAGGCCTCACCTTTTCCATTAGACTATTGAAAGAAATCCCTTCCTTTCGCCCTTATTGCTGTTGGCCCCAATCCATTTTTATACCCCTCTGGTGGTGGCTCATTCCTACCCAAGGCCGCCACCCTTCACCCTCGTCCTAATCTCCATTCTCCAGCTCCCACTGCTGCTCTCACTGTTTATCAACCCACCATGCCCGCTGGTCCAGTCTCCACCTGGGAACTCATCCTTCAGATGGTCAACACCTCGGCCCAGGCTCTCTCCAACACCACTTATGAGTGCTGCTGGATTTGCTATTCGCCCATCCCTCCATTCTACGAAGGTATTGCAGCCTTCTACACCAACAACACCAATCTGCTTCACTGGGGCGCGCAGCCACAGCCACACGGCATGACCTTAGGACAGGTCGTGGGATCTGGACTCTGCCTTTTGGGACCACATATGCTTCCCCCCACCCTGCTGTTAGAAGCATGTAATCAAACCATACAAGTTGCTGCTCATACTTCCTTTCTTATTGCCCCCAACCTCACCTTTTTTGCTTGCTCCACAGGGTTATCCCCCCATATTATTGTAGATGTTTTTCTTGCACACAAGGACTACTGCGTCCTTGTTGTACTCGTGCCCAAATTGACTGTTCGCTCTGAATCTGATTTATTGCCCCAAAGCGATCCAACTGTAACTCTCTCTTGCCAAAAAAGAGAGCCAGTCACTGCCCTCACATTAGACATATTGGTTGGTCTGGGTGCAGCAGGAACTGGCACAGGAATTTACTCCCTACTCCTTACAAAGGACTCTGTTAATGCTCTATCCCGCACTGTTGTTAGAGACATAGACGAGCTAAAAAGAGGTTTAGATTACTTAGAACAAACTGTTGATTCCTTAGCTGAAGTGGTACAACAAAACCGTCGCAGTCTCCACCTTGCCTTTTTGTGGGAGGGGGAGTTTGTGCCACCCTTAAAGAGGAATGTTGTTTTTTCAAAGACAAATCAGGATTAGTTACAGACAGTATCAGAAGAGTTGAAGAGAGTCTGGAAGAAACAAAAAGAAATTGGGATCAAAGTGAATCTTGGTACAAAAATTGGTTCTCTACCTCCCCCTGGCTGTCAGTTTTGCTGCCTAGTTTGTTAGGACCCTTTATTGGCTTCATGTTACTTATTTCCTTTGGTCCTTGGGCATTTCGTCGCCTTACTGGTTTTGTTAAAAATCAGGTTGATGAGGCTACCAAAAATTCAGTTCAGGTTCACTATCAGCAGCTCTCTCAACAAGACCCGGAAGAACCTACTGTAGACAAACCTACATTCCAACCTTTGAGCTTTCGGGAATTTGAGTACCTGGCCAACCACCCGCATTCACTCTGCTCCAGGCTGTGGAGATGCTTAAGACAGGGATAGCTTGGCTGCAGAATCTGGGAGCAAACATGGCCGACAAAATCTTAATTTGTATCCTCTCTCGCCATGTCCAGAACTGGAAGCCCACCAGGTAACCTAAGCCAGGCACTTCACCCAACTGCTCTTTTCTTTTACTATATAGAAAAGGGGGGAGATGTTGGGGACTGCTAGAACCTTGAACAAAATGGAGTCTGTCAGCCATTTCTTGGCCTTCTGCCTACGTGACTGCAGGCACACATGCCCTTGAGACAAAGGAAAAAGTTAACCACAAAAGTTAAATTTACACAGGGCAGCCCACCCGCCTAGCCAGGGGGAAGTAACCCTTATAGAACAATTGCCTTTGTTGGCAAAGGGTTAATGTGTTCCTTTGGATGCTTTTACCACAATGATAGGGGAAGTAACCCTTATAGAGCAATTGTCTTTGTTAACAAAAGGTTAATGTGTTCCTTTGAATACCTTTTACCCCTCCCTAATTCCTGCACCTGGCTTACACTGACGAGCATTTGCAGAATGCAACTGATGGAAAATTACAGCTTCGTCTTTACCTTATTTGGTGTATATTTGAGTTGAGACTTGATTGGCATGCTTGTACCGCCCCCTGAGATTCTCTTCCTATAAGAACTATCTCACCCCAAAAATAAACGCTCTTGATCAGCAAAAGTTGTCTTGAGTCTGCTTCCCTTAACCTCTTGAAGTTTACTTTTAAGATCGGATCTGCTCATGAAGACCCACCCTCATCACCTCATCCCTGCGGGTCGGGGATCCCCTCTGGGGGTCGCAAGCATTCTTTTCGGCCTCTGGTACTAGATCAATATTTATCCCTGGCATCCAATTGACTTTGGGAGCCCATTCCACATGGAGGGATTCCTTCTCAGCCTGGACACCTGGGGGGAGGGCTTAGGACATACCAAGGATGATATGACAGACTTTGGAGATCCCCAATGAAGGGCCTCACCCTCCCTGGAGAGTGGAGTGGGAATTGCGTGAGAGATTTGAGAGGGGTTGTTAGGATGTGGGGGAGGAGAGGAGGGCGAGGGATCTGGGATTGACAAAAAAAAAGGAAGCTTATTTCTTATTTAAATAAAAAATCAATAAAAAACAAAAAAGTATAAAGTGTTAACAAGAGAGTTATTAAGATTCTTTTTCTAAACTGATCTCCCGAAATATTTGTGGAAATCATTATACCTAGCTAAATCTATTCATAATCTTTTCTATATTCTTCATATGCTTTGGAATGAGTCCATGATAATGATAATTCATTCCATTATTTCTGTTGTTAAGCATATGTGCTCAGGAATATTTTATGTTCAGTGTCCAAATGGATATAACTATTTATAGAAAATAACTTGGCTCACTTCCTGTAATATAATTTTGTTATTGTTGTAGTTTTATTTCTTTGTGACAGGGCTTCTCTGCATAGCCCTAGTTGTCCTGGAATTTTCTCTGTATACCAGGGTGGCATCCAACTCACAGAGATCTGTCTGCCTCTGTTTTCAGAGTGCTGAGATTAAAGGCTTGTGCTACCACCAGATGTAGCATAATATTTCAACTAAACTGTGACTACTGACTATCATAGTAAAAGACTAGTCTAATTGAGTTTGAAAACTATGTATAAATTTAATGTTGAATACCCTTTTCAAATAAGGAGAATGGAAAAGTATAAGCCCTCATGAAAAACTGAAATAAAGCAGACATACTTTCTCGCAATATAAAAAAATTTCACAAAGTGAATTATATAAATGTAAACATTGAAAATTATGGCTTATTGAAGACAAGGAAGGAGAAAAGACTTGTGATTTAGGGTTAGGCAAAAGTAAAGTAGATATTAAAAAAAAGTTTATGGGAAATATATGAATTGGATCTCATAGATAATATTTTCTTCTAAAATATAGTATTGATGCAAAGGAATTATAAGCTCATCTACTGACTGACCAAGATTCCCAGATAGAAGTTTCCAGTGGGTGTTTAGAAGTAACAAGTAGAAATAGAATTTGATTCTTTAAATACCTTTAAAATATGTATCATTAACATTCTGTAGGTTACAAGAGTTGAAGTCACTTATTCAAATCTTTAAAAATTTCAGAGAAAATAATTAGGGATCTTGGAGAATATTCAGCTGGAAATTCTTAATGAAGATTAATTAAGAGACAACGAATCCAACAACAGATCCCTCTACAGAGATCAAGATAATTGGGTAAATTGGGGGGTTATATTTCCATCTCCACAAGAGGGAGTATTTTCCCTAAAGAGAAACTTGTATATTTTGAGTCTCTAGGAAACCAGAGGCAAATCATAATCCAAGTTGTAAACCAGCTAAATGCTTCAATTCCTTTTTATATATAAAAGCTATCATTGGGAAGGGAGTAGCTATGCTTGTACCCCACTTGTAAGCTAGTCAGTTAAGCCATTTCAGTCCCATTAAAACCATTGCATTTCTAGTGTCAGTGTGAGAATCATAGTAAAGTTATTTCCTCTGCTGTTGGAGAACACTGAAAGTCTGATCAAAAAATATCTTCTGTAGTTAAGAAGTATTTTTAGAGTATATCAGGTAATAAGTCTTCATTATATTCTCTTACTAGAAACAAAGAATCCAAAATTACTCTTCTGCATATCCTGAAGAGCAAAGGTAAGAAGTCTCTGAAATTTTCCTAATATATTGATTTTCTTGAATGTATGAACACCCTCCTTAATGTGAGATGGACTGTTTCTTCCCTATCTTGTGTGATCTAGGGGCTTACATGAAATTGTCCAAGAAAATGTTATGGAGAATGTTAAGAGATGTAGTGGCCATCCAAGTTGCAGGATACCTCTCTATGGACAGGACTTATACACTTTTAGGTTCATGATTTTCTGTGACTTTGAGTAGTGAAAGAAAAAAAACTCCTAGGTAAATCTCTAGCTATATGAGAGATAAATCTCTATCTATGGTCAGCATTAAGTGGTCATGACCTCCAGATTTATTTGTGTGGGAAGGACTCTAGAGTAGCAATAAACTATAGAGACAGAATGTTTATGTTTTCATTCATTCACATTTATCATTTTTTTCTATAAATCATACTTACATTTTTTCACCACTGCTCTTTCATGTGTAAGATAACTTGGTTATACTCCTTACAATTTATGGGTTCAGCTGGGCCCAGTATCACATATTTCCAACCCACAAATCAAGGAACCATGATAGGAAGAGGGGATCATTTTCTAATGAGATCATTTTTCCTGTTTCTGCAGATTCTCTTGTAGAAACATGACTTCTGCAAATGTCTCTTTGGTGACTGAATTCATTCTGGTAGGACTAACAGACCAGCCTGATCTCCAAATACCCTTGTTCTTTGTGTTTCTAGCAATGTATATCGTTACTGCATTGGGGAATTTGTGTTTGATAACTCTAATTGTAATAAATTCAAACCTTCACACACCAATGTACTTTTTCCTCTTTAACTTGTCCTTCATAGACCTCTGCTATTCTTCTGTGTTCACTCCCAAAATGCTGATGAACTTTATATTAAGTAATAATGTTATTTCGTATGTGGAATGTTTGACCCAATTATATTTCTTTTGTTTCTTTGTCATTTCTGAAGGTTATGTCCTGACATCAATGGCCTATGATCGCTATGTGGCTATCTGTAATCCATTATTGTACACTGTTGCTATGTCCCCTAAACTGTGTTTGAACCTTATGTTTGGTACGTATGCAATGGCATTTTCTGGTGCTATGGCTCACACAGGATGCATGCTGAGACTGACCTTCTGTGATGCAAACACCATCAACCACTACTTCTGTGACATCCTCCCTGTGATGCAGCTCTCCTGCACCAGCACTTACGTTAATCAGCTTGTAGTTTTTATTGTAGTGGGCATCAACGTCACTGTGCCCAGCATTGCCATCGTTATCTCTTATGCTTTCATTCTCTCCAGCATCTGCCACATCAACTCCGCTGAGGGCAGGTCCAAGGCGTTTAGGACCTGCAGTTCCCACATGATTGCTGTTTCTCTGTTCTTTGGATCAGGTGCATTCATGTATCTCAAACCATCTTCCTCTTCATCTATGGACCAAGGAAAAACCTCTTCTGTCTTTTATACCAATGTCGTTCCTATGATGAATCCCTTAATCTACAGTTTGAGGAACAAAGATGTGAAAATGGCCCTGAAAAAAACTCTGACCAGATGGAAATTTTGAATGGCGACAACTTGTATCTGCCTGTGGCTTACAGAATGTGGATACTTTATAGTTACTTAAAATGTTTCATGGGAGAATATTTAACAGATTTTTATCTCTAGGCATTATTCTGTTTTTAAATTTAATGTTGAAAATTTACCACATGATATCTTAGTGTGTAGATACATTGTATCTTGATTAATGCAACTATTATTTCCTTCATATAATAATAAAGGAAATTTGAATAATTTTAATTTTTAAAATAATTTTAGAGTCCTTTTCTTTTCCTCACCATTACCAAGATTCGTCATTAATTTTCCTTTGTGTTAATAAAGCCTCATATTAATAAAGACTTTTTATTTCCCCCTTTCATTATGAAACTCTAGTTTTTTTTCAGGAAAAGAGAATGGTATGTCAGTTGATCAAGTAGAGTGACACAAGTCAGTGATTGTGGATTTTTCACTTTTGCTCCTAATGTGCCTTTGGGAATGTAATTCAGAATAATGCCTTGCCCCCTCTCTGTTGATTCTCCTTTGTAACGTAGATAACATCTTAAGCCATAGTCAGATGCATCACAGGTTGCATGTGCAGTTTTCTACTTGTATTGGGAAACAACTCTATCAGTATATCCTAGGTGCTTCATTCACTTACTGTGTGTAATAGTTACTGATGTTCAGAGAGGACCATGATTTACTGATAACCCAATAGGTTAAAGTATGAAGTTTCCAATTTTATTTTCTGATTTCAAGTCGACTGATAGTAGAAACATGCATTCTGAATTCATGTTATCATTTTTTATTTGAGGAAGTATAACTATGTGGCAATATTCCATTTTTAAATGTGATTATGACTTGCTTCTGTGTGGTATGTACATTTTTCAATATGGTTAGAGTTTTCATTTTGTTGAAGACTATTGTTTTGTAGCAGTAGACAAAACCTTTTGGAACAGGGAATTGAGTTTATCCATAATACTATAAATAAAAGTATCTGAGTGATTTCTTTGTTTTGTAATACAGGAAAACAAAATAGATGATAGAATAAGCAAGCACCCCCAACCCCAGGAAAAAACAATACGTGTTAAACTAAGAGTGAAAGAAGCTAGACACTGACAGCCTGTGATTGCAGAGAATTTTTAGGGAGAATTTGAAAAACATCTCCCTTCTGATTTTGTGTGTCATATAACAATAACTATCCCCATTGCCTGCACAAAAGCAGAGCATTAGGTGATGTTGATTCTTACACTGAGATGTGGAAATTGGCTGCATTTGTAGGAAATCAAGCAGAGTCAAGACAGCCCAAGAGAGCAAGTTGCCCTGGAGATACTATATAGGAAGATAGATTTTAGTCCATGAAAGTTAGGAAAATAACTCTCCCAGGGTTCTTAAATTTTTTACGAAAATAGAAAAATTTTAAAGATCACATTTCTCTTGACAGGATAAAGGCTCAAGTTACTGAATAGCAAAGTTAAACTCAAAGAGGGTCTGAAGACAAATCATAAATTTGTTGGCTTTCATGTATAGTTCTCATATGGAATGTAAATTGCAGATTGATCAAGGTACAGCCAGAAGATAAGGATTCTTTATAAAGGTTAAACTTTTGGTGAACAAATTGATGTCTTTTTCAGATAATAGTTGGATGTATTTTTTAAGTTGGCAAAATGATAACCATTTTTAATTTTTTTATGTAAATTAGAAACATGAATACTTCACATGTCAATCCCAGCTCCCTCTCCCATTCCTCCTCCCTAGTCCCTCCACCAGCTCTCCCAGACCCCCACCCAATCCCCACATCATTCCCCAGGGAGGGTGAGGCCCATTTTTATAATTTTTAATTTGAAGCACAATATATCCATAGTATCTTCAAAAATTAATTTGAAATAATATTTGCCATTTCCAGCCTTAAACTCTGTATTTTTGGGTGTTTTTTGGTGTGTTTTGTTTTGTTTTTTTGCTTGTAACTTCGTAAGAGATGTATTGTCTATTTCAGATATTGGGCATTTCTCAACCCATGAATTTTATTTTCCAATTACCCTGACCTATTATTTGCTCCGGCATTAAGATGCATTATTTTATCTTGGAAATACTTCTTGACAAACACTGCTGTTTTGGGGTGGGCTTTTATTTTATTTTTTAACTTAGTGATACTCTAAAAATTGACTTACAGATTTTGTCTTTCACTAATGGTCCTTGGTAATAATATGAGTGGTCCAAATGACTGGAAGAATCAACTGGGTTCACCTCTTCCTCTTCCTCTTTATCTTCCTTCACTCTTGAATGCAGTGGTGTTTTCCAGGATAGTTCCAGATGTGGCATGTACCATCCCAGAACTTATGTAACATGTGTGAATTCCTCGGTTTGATTATCAATAGGACACACAAAAACATAATACATTAAAGGATCAGGTATATTGGAAATAGTCTGTTTATAATAACACATAACGATTAAAAGTTGTTTATTTTATGAAAATGTGCCGCATTGGATTCTTTATACAATCATATTAATGCCCAGTTTCACAGTAAAATGCTGCAAAACTTTGATTTGGTTGTCAGTTATGTGAACAATAACATTTTAAAGGAAACCCCTAGTATATGATATTCACCTTACTAAAAATAATCTGACAGGATCAAATAAAAAGAAGCAACAGAAAACATATAGTCTCTGCATATCTGTCTACCAGTTACAGACATTGACTTTATATCAATTTTCATTCTGTACTTTGTTACTTTATCAATTAACCTGTTCTCCTATCTAAATAAATTCTTTCCTTAACGCACTCTTCAATTATTTGTTTTTAAAGGTTACTTTTAGTTGTGTGTGTGTGTGTGTGTGCACTCACACTTGTGAATGATGGTGTGCATGGAGTATGGAAGGATTAACAGATGATTCTGAGTTAACTGAGATGGGTGTTGGGAACCACACTCATGTCCTACATGGGAGTAGGCAGAGCCCTTGACCCCTTAGCTATCTTTGTATCCCCTCACATATGTGTCATTGCTATCACTCTTATTGTTTTACAGCGCTGGATATAGAACGTATGGATTCACATGCATTAGGCAAGTGCTGCACTATTGAGGACCATTGCCAGCACATGAAATTTTCATTTCTGAGTGTGTTTGTTTCTTTTGTTTCTTTTATTTCTATAGGGCTGGGTTAGTGGACACATATTGCTTGAATCTAGTTTTGTCATGGAATATCTTGTTTTCTCCATCTATAGTGATTGAGAGCTTTGCCGGGTATAGTAGTCTGGGCTGGCACCCATGGTCTCTTAGTGTAGGTAGAATCCAGGACCTTCTGGCTTTCAGCGTTTCCATGGAGAAATCAGGTGTAATTCTGATAGGTCTGCCTTTATATGTTACTTGACCTTTTTCCTTAGCTGCTCTTAATATTCTTTCTTTATTCTGTATGTTTGGGGTCTTGATTATTATGTGGCGAGGGAATTTTTTTTTGTGGTCCACTCTATTTGGTGTTCCGTAGGCTTCTTGTACCTTCATTGGCATGTCTTTCTTAAGGTTGGGAAAGTTTTCTTCTATGATTTTGTTGAATATGCCTTCTGCCCCTTTGAGGTGGATTTCTTCTCCTTCTTCTATACCTATTATTCTTACGTTTGGTCTTTTCATGGTGTCCCATATTTCCTGGATGTTTTGTGTTAAGGATTTGTTGGATTTAAGGTTTTCTTTGGTTGATAAATCCATTTCTCCTAGCGTATCTTCAACACTTGAGATTCTCTCTTCCATCTCTTCTATTCTGTTGGTAATGCTTGTATTGGTAGTACCTGACTGTTTGTCCAGCTTTTCTTTTTTCTGTGTTTTTTTTAATGACTCTATTTCAGTTTTCAACCCTTGCAGTGTTTGCATTGCTTCTTGCAATTTTCTGTTTATCTGTTCGTCCGTTTGTTGCCTTTTATGAATTTTTTGGTTTGTTCTTTCTTCCATTTCTTGGTTTGCTTTTTGTTCCAATTCTTGCATTTTGTGCTTTGTTTCTTCTTCCATTTCCTGCCTTTTTTGGTTTGTTTCTTCTTCCATTTTTTTCATTTTTTGGTTTGTTTTTTCTTCCAATTCTTGCATTTTTTGGTTTGTTTCTTCTTCCATTTCCTGCCTTTTTTGGTATGTTTCTTCTTCCAATTCTTGCATTTTTTGCTTTGTTTTTCTTCCATTTCTTGCTTCATTTCTTCTTCCATTTCCTGCCTTTTTTGGTTTGTTTTTTCTTCCAATTCTTGCATTTTTTGGTTTGTTTTTTCTTCCATTTCTTGCCTTTTTTGGTTTGTTTTTTCTTCCATTTCTTTGAGGGATTTTCCAATATCCTCTTTTAGGGCCTCTATCATTTTCATGAAAGTGTTTTTAAGGTCGTTCTCTTCTGCTTCGTTCGCATTGGAATGTTGGGGTCTTGCTGGTGTGGAGTCTCTAGAATCTGGTGGTGTCATATTTGTTTTTCTGTTGCTGACTGTGTTTTTGTATTGTCTCTTTCCCATCTCTTCTTCTAGTGGGTGCAGAAAGAGCCCCTTACTGGTCTGGGGACCAGAGTTCCCTTTTGGTGGGTGCTAGCAAGTCCAATAATCTGGTGGTTCTTCTATTCCTTGTCCGAATTCTGGTCCCGTGGGTGGAGAAGAAGAACAGAAATCTGGGGCGCTTATCCTCTTACCTGGTCCCCTGGACCCTATGCTGGGTCCTGTTGTACTTGATCTAGAACAGCTACTCCCCTGGTCTCCCTGGGTCCTCTGGTTTCCTGGTCTCCTTGGTGGGAGAGAAGACCTGGGGTCTGGGTGCTTGGCTCCCTCCAGGATTGGGAGCTCTGTGCAGTTCCCAGGCGATCTGCAGGCACTGGAACACAGGCCGGGAAGCCGGCCTGTTTACCTGATGCTGTCGGAGGAACAGCTGCTTCCCTGGACTCCAAGCCTCCTCTCCTTTCCTAGTCTCGTTGATGGACGAGAAGATCTGGAGTCTGGGGTGCTTGGCTCCCGCCGGGATTGGGAGCTCTGTGCAGGTCACAGGTGATCTGCAGGCACTGGAGCACAGGCCGGGAAGCTGGCCTGTTTACTTGATGCTGCCGGAGGAACAGCTGCTTCCCTGGACTCCAAGCCTCCTCTCCTTTCCTGGTCTCTTTGGCGGGAGAGAAGATCTGGAGTCTGGGGTGCTTGGCTCCTGCCGGGATTGGGAGCTCTGTGCAGGTCCCAGGCGATCTGCAGGCACTGGAGCACAGGCC